ACGTGGCTTCTGATGACAGCTACTTTGTAAGGTATGAGCTATCTTTAACTTTGTTGGAATCAGAATCTTGCTAAGCTCCTAAAGATGACCATGGATCCCAAAGAGCATTTTATCATTTTATCTACTTGGGTCTGCTACTTATTTCTCGTAAGCATCTCATATTTATGAGAAATAAGTAGTTCTTCCCCAAACCTAAAGGATCTGGCCAGAGGAGTGGCACTCTTCTATATTTTCAAGGCTGTTCTTGGTTGTCAACTTGACTACATCTGGAATTAACTAGAACTCAAGTGCCTAGGTACACTAAAAAGGGGGATTTTTCTTAATTAAATAATTTGAAATGGGAAGACCCACTTTAAATATGGATCTTTTGAGGTGGGAAGATCCCCCTTTAATCTGGGCCACACCGTCTGCAGGCAGCCTAAGTAAAGGACATGGAAGAAGGAAGCTTGCTCTCCTTGCCTGCTTGCCCTTACTGTCCTTGGTAAGTCTATTCCTCCACTGGCATTGCAGTCTACTTCTTCAGGATTCTGACATATACTGAAGACCAGTTGAGAAAGTCTCATAAACTAAACAGCCACTAGATTCTTGGACCTTTCATTGCTAGAAGACCTAGTTGGACTAGTTGGATCACAGCCTATAGTCCCCTTCTATGTATATACACGTTCATTCTACCAGTTCTGTGCCTCTAGAGAACCCTGACTAATACACTAGGTGTGGCTATACAGAAAACAGCTGGGCCATCCTGTCTCACCCACGTACGTACTGAGAGGGAGGAACATTCCACAGACAAGTAAATGGATTTCTTTGGTACTGCAACAAGACTGTGATTTACTACATGTGACATGCTATGAGGACAGACACCTCATCAGGGGATGATCTGCCCCTACTTCCAGTCAAACCCAGGTGGGCTACATATTTTAAAAAAAAAGAAAAGAAAAGAAAAATGCCTGCTAAATATTCAAGTCTGAATCATGGGTTTTTGTCCGTAATTTTCAGGTAAAAACAGTTTCTATGCAAATAGTGGCAAATTTTGTTCCACTCCACTGCACACCTTCTCTGAAAGCATAGGTTCAAGGCCCCTGTGCATCATGCAAACACTACAGCCATCTTCCATAGTTCATCAGACAGCATAAAAAGATCGTGATGTAATGACATTACACCATTACATTATATTCACTGTTTCAACCAGACCTGGAGGTTTATGTTCCTTACTGTGAATGTGTGGGTACGATGAACGCAGTATTCAACAGGGCCACTGGCTGGCTTCTTGCTGTCAGATGTTGTACCCACTATTGCCCCTACATCATCAGCACAGTGGAAGAGCCAAAGTCTTGGTGTTACTATGGAAATGTCTGACTTTACAGAGGTTCTGAAAGGTCTTGGGAACCAGGAACCTGTGAAGCATGGATCAGGATAAAGCTGGAAGCCTTGGAAATTGTATGCAAAAACTGGGGCATAGCTCAATTCTTCTTCAGATTTTAAAGGGTTCCAACTCCTCATACACTGCAGATGACACGGTATCAACTTTATTACTTTTGAGCATCTTAAATACACCACAACTTAGTTTTGCCACCTGCATTTTGACTGTTAGAAAATATTCATGCCTAAAAAACAGATTAACCAGATAATTTAACTGGAAATACATATGGCTAGTTATGTTTAAAGTCTGAAATGAGGGCACAATGGAGCTTTGCAATGCATGCCTAAGAACCAGGAGGCCGAGTGTCCTTTCTGTATCCCACTGCCCCACCCCATCTGTGGCTTGGAACTTAAAAGTTCTTTAGTCTGCAAAGGGAAAGGGTCACACTAGCTGTCTGTGAAGGTCTGGTTTGTAGTGAACCAACACCTTCGGTATATGAAAACACACAGCCACACGAAAAGATGTTAGACAAATGCAAATAAAAATCAAAGTGAGTTGCCAGGTCCCACTCACAAGGACATTTGAAACAAACAGGCAACAAAGTACTGGAGATGTGAAGAAACTCACACCCAGGACTGCAGCTGGGAGTGTGAACTAGTGTAGCCATTCAAAAAACAGCCTGGCATTTTTCCAAACTGTGAGCCATAGAGCACTGCACTGCTAGGTACACGCCCAAGAGATACAGGTTTGCACCAGTGCTGCTTCGTAGCAGCTTATAGACAAAGGCTCAAGCCCAAGTTGGCAGGGTGATGCATGTCTGCAATCCCAGACGCAGGATGATCTCCGTGAGTTCCAGGCCAGCCTGGTCCACATACAGAATTCCAGGTCTGTTGTAGAATATTTGTACACTGTGAAGATGTGTCCTTGCCAAGGTGCTTTTTGATTGGTTTAATAAAGAGCTGAATGGCCAATAGCTGGGCAGGAGAGGATAGATGGGATTTTGGGGGCAAGAGAGTTAGAGAGGAGGAATCTAGAGTAGCAAATTTCACCATCACACTCAGAGCAAGTTGGAAGTGTGGTACTGAGGAGAGGTAACTGGGCCACCAGAAGGTGGATTTAAAAAGATGGGTTAAGTTATAGGAGCTAGTAGGACAAGCCTAAGCTAAGGGCAAAGCTTTCATAATTTAAAAGTCTTCGTGCCATTATTTGGTGGCTGGCAATCCAAGACAGTCCCATAAGAAAGCTTGCTACACAGGTCAGCTAGCATTACATAGTGGGACCTTGTCTCAAAACAGAAGGCCAGATATAACCCTAATGCCCACCAGCTCATAAATAAATGGGCAGAGGTGGCTCAGTGGTCAAGAGCACACTGGCTGCTCTTTCAGAGGACTGAGGTTTTATACCCAGCACCCACATGGCAGCTAACAATCAATCATTTGTCATTGTAGTCCCAGAGGATGTGACATCTTCTTCTGGCCTTTGAGGATACTGCACACATATGGCACACAGACATATAAGCAGGTAAAACACCCATATACATAAAATAAAAATAAAATGAGTGTATCTACATAACAGAATATTATGACAAAATTATTTGTCTAAAAAAGGGAATAAAATACAAGCATAAACTATGACATGGATTAGACTCTACCACACTCTGGAAATGCCTGTCATGAAAGACATGTTGTATTGGTCCACTTCATGAAATGTCCTGGACAGTCAATCTACAGAGACAGAGAGCAGGTCAAAGGTCACTCAGTTCAGGCAGTGGTGAAGGAGCAGGACAAGATTTACTTTGGGGGGAAATGTTGTACTACTAAAAAACTCAAATTCCCCAGGTAGTGGGAGAGCTATAAAATAAATAATATCTTTACAACTATTAAGCCATACAGTACTCCAGTCAAACAGGCCATATCTGTACAGCTACACTGTTGTGAACTCTTTAAAAGTTAGTGGAAATTAATCTCTAAAAACACTAGGATCAAAATCTATACATACTACAAAAAGAAGAAACAGAGCAACAGGTAGCAGTTAAGCATAGGCAAAGCGTTGTGTGCGTGGCCACCGGCTGAGGCAGAGGGCTGCAGAGCTTCTCATCGGAATGGACCCAGAGCAGGACTTGCCGGGAAGGAGGCCTTGGCTGCCTAAATTCCGTATGTTCTCTCTGTCTCAGAGTATCACACACTACAGCGACATCCACCCCACCACACTCTTTCTTCACTGCACTTTTTTACCACTACTGTCTGTAAGTTTGGGTTTGAAATGTCCCCCAGCTTATGGCATTGTTTGGGGAGAGGTGGAACCTCTGAAGTGGGAGGTGTGGCCGGTCAAAATGAGTCACTGGGAGTCCGACTTTGAGGGCACAGGGTGGCTGGAGCTTTCTTGACTTCTTGATTCATCAAGATGAACACAAGTCATACCATGGACAGACTGCCACTACCATGACCTTTCCCACAGTCAGGCAATTTGCCATAGTGATGAGACAGAGAGTAACTAATATACCATCAGTCCATACAAATACAGCAACAAATAAAGCAACACTTCAATCTCTCTCTGTTCCATTCTGCCCAGAAAGCACCAGACACAGGAGGCCAGGGAAAGCACACACAGGTATCTGCCAGTCTGAGTAGTCCATGACTCTTCTTCTCTAGATCGTCTTGGCCACATGGGAAAAAAGCAGAAATCACACTCTCAGTCTTGCAACTGACTTTTCGTCAGGACAACATCATCTGAAACGACGCAGTACTGGTTGGCTTATTTCACTCCTGTCTCCCACCTCGGATGAAAGAAAGCTTCAGGAGGGTAGGAAAATGTCCTTTCTCTGTGTCTGGCCCACAGAGGAGATTCAGGACATGTGTGTCAAATTCTTCTCACCTCAAGGGAGGGCATGATATTCAGGAGAGGGAACAAAGTTAAGACAGAAGCAGGAACTCTAGTTAGGGACCCACTACACAGGAGAAGCAATGACCAACCCAAGAAAGCAGACTCCAGAGTGTTGGGCATCCCACGTGCTTCTGGTACTGCCCACTGCTCCAGTGAAACAAACAAGATACCGAGTCAAGCAGTCTGAAACTTGTAGACATTTGACCCAAATGAGGCAGATGCTTCCTTCTTGGATTAAACAGTATAAATTAGGCAATATTGGCTGCCAAGACTTCTTAAAAATAGAAATTTGCTGTGGGATAATACTCTTGTACACTGTAAAGATTTGTCACTCATATTGGACCCAGGATGGAGAATATTTGTAGCTATAGATACTTAATACTGCTCCTTAGGGTTCCAGACTTGAGGCCAGCTTCCACAGTGTGTGAGAGATGGAGTTAAGGAAAGACCAAGATCTCTGCACCCTACCTTGGCATCTGCTTTCTGCTGAGTGCTAGGATTTCCCTGCACACGGATGGGCAAGATGTACTTCTAAAGTACACGAAGATACCAACACTAATGTTACATATGCTTAAAAAAAATCATGCCAAAGGCTTTAGAGATGATGTCACAGCAAACAGAAACCTGCATACAGCAATCTCCCCATCACAGTCCCGGGGCATGCCCAAACCTTCAGGGAAGCGGGAGGATCCCTAAGTGTGGCTGTGTTGGGCTAGGGTCTCAGTTCGGGGTGTGCTGTGTGAGCGCTGTCACTTACCATGTGGACGACCTCTGGGTAAATGGGTTCTGTGATCACATTCCGGTTGTGGGTGATATATTCCACCATCTCACTCAATGCAGCTCGCTTTACTTCCTTCCACTTCAGGTCACTCAGTGGGTCAGAAACAAAGTCAAAGAGGACACAACATTGACGAAGCTTCTGGATGAAAAGCTTCTCTTGATCCGCAGGAGGAACATCTGAAAGGCAAGAAAGACACAAAGCTTCTTAACCCACAGGGCCCAGACACACCCTCGGCCTCCTATTTTGTTAATAGAGGGGCAAGAAACGAGATGGGTGAGGTGAAGAGTGGTTAAATATTCCTTAAACAATGAAAAGGGCTGGTGGTGTGGGCACAGCTGTTTACTGCTGAGGTCACAGGTTTGGGATGACTGAGAGCACCCGTCACAACCAACCCTTCTGAAGGCACTCAGTGACAAACACTTTCTAGTAGCAAAACTCGCATGCCAGACTCTATGCTGGGCAAAACAGGATAAGAACAAGCTGCAGACAGTAAGGCTGGGCCTGGGTGATGCTGCAGAGGGAGGTGTGACAGGTACGGGATTTGGGGAGGCTTTTGGTGGCCCAAAGACCTGCAGTAAGGGTGACCCTTTGGTGTTCTCAAAGCTCCTTCCATTCTTCACTCTGTGTGATAGTGCTCAGGATGATGGAAATATAGTCGCTGCAACTGTAATAGTGACTTACTCAGTGAGCACTTACTTCAAGATACTGACACCTTTCATTTCATTTTTAAGGAGACAACTGAGATAGAAAAACAGGGTCACAGGATCACTGTCAGTCTGGTGGTGGACAATGAAGCTAAACCGAATTCCAACACAGCTCCACATGACAGTCCAGTATTCTGAGTTTAGAAAACTTTATCCACCAGTGTGAGAGTGTGAGGCTGATGGCTCTGGACTGAAGAAGAGGTCACTGGTGGTTATGATGGTGGAACACACACACACACACACACACACACACACACACACACCTCACCTCCACCAGTTAGTACTTCTCTAGTGATTAACAATGGTTCTGTGACACTATTCAAGAGCCAAACAATCCCACAAGTGTGCAGGAGACCACTGCATTTTTATGGAATAAGATGGGCCTGTAATTCATCTGTTTTAGATTATCCATGCATATTAACCCTTTAACAAACTATTCACTTAATACGTTCCATTAAAATGGCCACAAGTCTCTCCAAGGGCCTCTCTTGAGACCACACCTTCCTACATCCAACCAAAGAATCACATGGCCATAGGCTGGTGTAGAGCAGATGAATAAAGGAGAACCCAGTCATCCACCAGTAAACCAGATATTACAGAGACTTCCCAAAACACAAAATCATGTCATTCTTCTCTCTAAAGTTTGTTTAGGAAAATATATCAATTTTCATAAAACTATTAACCTTTTTCAATGTTTATAATAGCTTCATTACTATTTTAAAGATAGGTGCTAGGTATACAGCCACGGTTGGCTTAGAACTTGATGTAGATCAGGCTGGCCTCAAACTTGCAGTGACCCTTCTGCCTCTGCCTCTCAAGTGCTAGTGACACAGGTATGAGCCTGTAATTCATTACATTCTAAAATGATTTATAAAAACATTAAAATTTTTCTTTTTGAGTTTCCCACCCTCTGGTTTAATTTCAAGTGTGGTCATAATAAGAGATGAACTTGTGTAAATTCTTTAGGGGAGTGTGAGACATCCTGGGAGTACCTTCCCATATCTGCCTCCCCCAGCAAGTGTCCCTAAACACATGCTACTCTGCCTTCCCTCTGCTCAGGCCTTTCTAGGAGCTCATCACCCTTCTCTCCACTCCTCTGTACCATTCGCACTGCCGACCTTCTCATCTGGTTCTCTACCAGGCCCTTCCTTACTTCCTAGGTGGATAGGGCAAGGCACGCTGAGCCAGTCGTCCAGCAACTGTATAAGGCAGCTACTCTGCTTAGCACTCCTCACTCCCCATCTGGATGCCATGCCATGGCAGGCGCCTACTGATGACGACTTTTATTTATCTGACTCCTTAACGGCTAACATCAGAGAGAACAGGCATGCAGGCACTGCTACATGAATTCCATAACCTACTTCATACCGTGCAGAGATAAAAAGCGCTGAAGCAGCGTGAGGAGGTGGAGACATAGTGCTGAAGGACACCTGTGAGACCCTGCGAGCCAGCACATCACATCATTACATACAGAGCCCGCTGACCAGCTGCACCCCAATGCTGTCATGAAAAGGGTTTGCTTTCTGAACTATCTTCTTACAAGCCGCGTCAATTCTACACCTTTGTTCGCGCTCCAACTTGCCAGAATGCCTTAAGTGAACTTGCACTTGTCAGAGCTTGTCTATATAGATTCTGCTTGTGGCTCGTTATTTTCTCAGCACTATAGAGAGCAAAGAAGCCCACAGCTAAGCAGGATGGTGGTGGCACATACCTTTAATCTCAGCACTCGGGAGGCAGAGGCAGGCAGATCTTTGACTTTGAGGCAAGCCAGTCTACAGAGTGAGTTCCAGGACAACTAGAGTTACACAGAGAAATCCTGTCTTAGGGAGGAAAAAAAAGGCCACAGTTTATCCCACGAGTTACTTGGTACCCTTATCCAAATCCTACTCATTGCCTAGCTTCTACCCAATGGTCAGTGAGGTCTTTTAAGACCTCCTTCCTGAACAGTTCTTTAAAACCAGCAAGGAGGCTGGTCATGATAGTGTACACTTTTAATCCTGGCAGAGGCAGGTGGATCTCTGAAAATTCTATAGGTTAGCTTCGTCTACATAATGAATTATGGGCAGTGAGGGCTACACAGTGAGCCATGTCTTAAAATAAAAATTAATTAATTAAAATAGGGGCTAGAGGTTTGGCTCAGTGGTTAAGAGCATTGGCTGCTCTTGTGTAAGACCAAGGTTTGATTCCTAGCACACACATGGCAGCTTGCAGCCATCTGTATCCAGTTCCAGAGGACCTGAAGGGTACAAGGAATATATGTAGTGAACATACATACATGCAGGCCAACATTCACACACATAAAATGATAAATAAATCTAAAAAACTTAAAAAAATAAAACATTTCATTTGGTTATTATTATTTTTAAAAATCAATAGCAAGGAAATACGGCTGCAAAGTTAAAATAATGTGCTTACACCCTGACAAATATCTCCGTGTTTTAAAAATGCAAGTTAACTTAGCCTTCTTGGTCAGCGTATTTTTTAAATTAAAAGGATTTTTTAAATCCCCCTTTCTTTTTTAAATTAATTAATTAATTTATTAAGTATACAGTGGTCTGCCTTCATGTATGCCTGCAGGCCAGAAGAGGGCACCAGATCTCATTTCAGGTGGTTGTGAACCACCATGTGGTTGCTGGGAATTGAACTCAGGACCTTTGGAAGAGCAGGCATTGCTCTTAACCACTGAGCCACCTCTCCAGCCCCCTAAATCCTCCTTTCTTCTGATAGGACAGCACAAGAAGGTAGGCGGGTGGAGATGCTGAGGACCATGCTTCTTCCTGTATCTCAAACTCCTCTCATGTGCACTAGTGATTTCAGCATGCCTGCTTTCATCAATTATGAATGCGAGGAATTTCCAGTTACTGCAAGCTAAGTCCTTGATGATGCTAAGGCATGAACCATACAGCCACACACTCATACATTGTAAGGAAGGAACAGAAGATACCAGAAACAAGGGAGATGGTGGAGTTAAAGATCATCAATCTTCACTCTTCTGCCCCCATGGTGCCTGTGGGAAAGCTCGTGGTGAAAAAAAAAAAAGCCATCTACAAGTCAAGTTTCAGTTAAAAGGAATCTCTTATCAGGTGAGGTCTTACCTTACCTTATGGCTGTCCTGGAACTCTCTATATAAACCAGGTTGGTCTTGAATTCAGAGATTCTTCTGCCTCTGTCTCCTCAGTGCAGGGATTAAGGGTGTGTGCCACCACACCTGACTACTCTGTGTTTTTCTTTTTAAAGATTTTTTTTTTTTAATCATGTCTGTTCACAACTGTGTACGGTACCCTCGGATGCCAGAAGAGGGTGTTAGATTCTCTGGAATTGGAATGACAGATGGTTGTGGGTCACTGCAAAGGTACTAGTTAAATTCTGGTCTTTTGTAAGAGCAACAGTTGCTCTTAACCACTAGGTCACCTCTTTAGTCCTCTATTTCATTTTTTTTTGTTTGTCTGTTTTTTTTTTTTTGTTTGTTTGTGTTTTTTGATTTCTTTGTGTAACCACCCTGGCTTTCCTGGAAATCACTTTGTAGACCAGGCTGGCTTCCAACTCACAGAGATCTGCCTACCTCTGCCTCCCAAGTGCTAGGATTAAAAATGTGCACCACCACCTCCCAGCTTCCATGCACCATCTTAGTGACCATTTTTACCAAGCAAGGTAGCACACACCAATCTCAGTATCCAAGAAGCGGAGATAGAAGGACAGAGAATCTGAGGCCAGCCTGGTCTACACGAAGAATTCCAGGCCCTAGTGTCTGTATAGACAGGACTCTCTTTTGCCAGCACTGTCCCCCCAATTGTACCACTGCTGTAGTTAAGAATCCTTCACCTGTTTTCCTTCACGGCTGAACCATTCATTAACCTTTACTTGCCCATACAGGTTTGGGGACTGTGTAAGTTTTCAATATTGAGTATCCCGGTCCAGAAAATAAACTATTCCTCTAATTACTCAAGTTCTCCTTAAATTTTTTATTAAAATATGTTGAATGTTATTTTATTTTATTTGGTTTCTTGGGATTTGCTATGCTCTGATGCTATTGAAGATGATATTCCTTGAAAGATTAATTTCACTTGCAATACAGAAAAAAATGCCAATGTAACTGGTTACCCTTTTAATGAATTCTGACCCCGATTCTGCAAATATTCCTTCAATGTGCAAGCCCAGGCACAGTGTTCCTCTTTCCTGTGTGTCTGTGCTAGTCAGGGAGGAGAGGGACAAGGGCATCTTGGAGAAGAACCATAGTGGGAGGAGCTGCTGCTCCAGAAACAGGACTTTTTTGTGAGGCTTCATTAGACAGCTGAACTGTGTGGGGCCACTGGAGGACAGAGATGGACCCTGGAGCCACTGCAGCACTGGACTGCAGGACAAAGGATATGCCAGCCTTTCAACACAGGACACTATGTCGGCTAGGACACAGGGTCCAAGAAATAGAGACAGAAAGAAAGAACAAGTCAGATCACGTTACACTCAAAACTCAA